CTCCATCACTTGTACGTATCACTGCACTTTTAGGCCACAAGCAAAGACATTTTTTGGCGTAAAGTCCGCATCAGACATAAGCAATGCCCAAAGGGATTGCAGTGGACAAGTTGACGGATGACAAAACCTGTTAGGGTAATCCTTTAGTTTTTCGCGCAACCTCCAAATTGTCTTTGATTCTCCATGCAAGTTCTCAGCTGGATGTGGGGCATGCCGTGAAAGGCGCTACATGTTGCACAGCTGCTCCGTGCCAACTTGATCCAACTACTTGCGGCAACAGTACCAAAAATGAATAAAAATGATCTTGTTTGTTCTTTATCAATGTTCTTCACACCTCTGAGCATGAGCACCCCCGGAACCACAACCTTCCGCACCTATCCGCAACCACAACAGCCTCGGAACCTGCACCACCGAGACAATCCTTCAGCTGCACAAGGGACAGCCTACGCAACATACGAGATTATTCTACTGAAAATAATGTCGTATGGAGATCACATGAGATAACGTTTTCGTGTGGAGTTTCGGATCTGATGAATGCCATACTCGTCAATATCAAAATATGTTCTCTTGGCTGGCAACGACATATTTTTGCAACTTTCAACAATGTCGAAGCAAGAACAGCTTCTCAATGCACATTTTGTTTTTTGCCTTTCAAGTACCGTCTTTTTCTCTTGGGTTTTGTTGCTTCTTTGGCAAAACCTAATGAATAAGTTGTGTTTTTTTATACAATCAAATGTTAGGGACGCGCAAAAAAATAAGACAACTTCAGAAAAACGAGAACGAAACGAAGAAAAGCTATAAAAGTCAACGACAGCGTTCAGCTTGAAACAGGTTCGTTGTGAACAAGTGAACAAGGTTGAAGCCACAACGAAATGCTTCTGCAACTTTCGACAATGTCGATGCAAGCACAGCTTCTCAGTGCGCATTGGACTTTTCGCCTTTCAAGTGCCGCATTTTTCTCGTCTTTACTTTTGTTGCAAGTTTCTGTACAACATACTGTATTCTACTTCAGGTCCCATTTTACCTGTGCCATCCCAACCATGCGTTAGACTGGTGCACACGTGGTCTGGTGATTTCATGTGCAAGTCTGAGCTGATCGAAACTGCAGTATTTGCAGCAAGGAGGCTGCGCAAAAGCCTTGTATATTCCCTCCTTTATCATTGCACCTCTTGGCTTCCGGGACAAGACGCATCATTTTTAACACAGGGGGGCTTTACACTGTCGGGCTACATACAGCTACACAAACGGAACCAGCCCAGAATCTGGGCTGAGAACCCTTAGCCGGAGTAAAATGAATATGTCAAAAACAAATCCTCATGCAAGTGAATACACAAGCATTGTGACAGAGATTAAAAGATTGATGGTCAACAAACACATGAATGCACATTGCACAATACATCTTCATATGCGTACTGGTGCCGAGAAAAAAATGCTATATACCTCAGCTACAGCTAGTGTGCGCACCGGAGTCAAAAGAACATATGAATACATATGATACAAAATGCAGAGGCTCGTGCGCGACCCTGTACCATCATGTGCCTGCATAGAGGAGATCCGAGGGTCAGATGCCGCCTGAGACTGTGCCAAAGACAGGGATCGAAACGCAGACACAGATACACCGGTTGACGCAAAACAGCAGTCAGCACTACATCTAGCCGAGCTGCATTACATTGTGTGACGTTGCTCTTAATACGTTGCATCCGCGGAGGTGATGATGTACTCACAAAACACAGTGATTCTGCAATTGCTTGCTGATCTTACTGGCACCGCATGAGATATGTCTGCATCAGAGAGTGGCTTCTTCAAGTCATGGAGTCATGGTCCAACATTCTGCCTTTTATTAGTGTTTTTTTCCGATAGTTCAAGGCAAAACATTAGAAAATTTAGAAATATAATATAATAATAATAATATGTATATAAATATGATTATGTAATATGATGTAAATGAATATGTATGTATTTCAAATTCATGATTTTTCATGAATCATGGCTGAGGTGTACATTTTAGCCTTGGCTTCATGGGTGCAAGGGACCTTTGCAGCTTTGCGCGCTGCTTGGTGGGTTCCTGCCTCAAAAGAATTGTTCAATGTACTTTCAATGTACAACCATCGGCCATGCAGTTCTTCGAATCAGACGTGTTTTTCTCTCAGTGTTTTTCCCTCAGAGAGATGTTAGACAGTTTCCTGGATGCAGTCTCTAACCAAAATCACAACTCGACCAGCGCAATTTCAAGGGAATCTGAATCTAGGGCAGTAGTTGTTGTTTACATCTGTTGTTTACTGTATTTTTTATTTTTGAATGAGTTCAATGTGTTCGAAGGTTTGCACCTCAATAGAACTTTTGCACACCAGGTCAGTGACTGCTACACACAAAGCCGTGATTTTGACCCCTACGTTGCGCAGGCCAGCAGAGATGGTTGCGCTTTTATGCGTTTTTTGTATTTTTTAACGAGCTACAAACAAGACGTGCAAAATTCAAATTCAAGTCGGTGCTAGTCACTGTTCTGGTTAGGGAAGCCGCGTTTTACCTCTCAAAGCTTGCGCAGTTGCCATGGCCGAGAGCTTGATTCAGAGTGCATATTTTGAAATTCAACATGAACGTTTGATATTTGAAGCGTTTGAAACACAGAACAAAAAAAAACTAGAAAAAATATAGAAAAATGCAGCATATGAGATGCGGTCAAAATAAGCGTAGACTACTTTAGTGAGGGAGGGTCCAGTTGTGTTGAGAAAGTGCACCAAACCATATAAAGCTATAGGGCCCCAAAAAAAAAGATAACTTGTAACCATATGAGAGTGCATTGAACTTGGGGTAACCCAAGCAAATATTGTTGTGTGCCTTCACGCGATGGGCAAAATTGATTGAGAAAATTCAACCTGCAGTGCCCACATTTCTTGCAGTTGCCATACCATGCCATACCATTTGTTGTCCAAGGTGATTGAACCGTTGCTTTCTGCAGGCAGTTGTTTTTTTCTCCCAGGTCCCAAAGCACTAAACTCAACTAAATGCAACCGAATTCTGAATTAGGTTTAAACACGGATTTAAATCTAATTCTGAATTCCGTTTATGTGCTTTACTTTAATTTGAATTGCGTATTCCTTTGTTTCCTTTTCTTTGTCTTTCCTTCCTTTTTCCTTTTATTTCCTTTTGAATTCTGAAGTAAATGAAAATTGTTTTTGAATCCAATTCTGCATTTCATTTATATTTCCCTTTTGTTTGATTTGTCCTTTCTTCTTCCTTCGTTTCTTTTTCTCGTTCTTTCCTTCCTTTTTTCCTTTTTTCCCCACCTGCCAGGTGAGGGTTGTTAGATTTTATCACAGTTGTTCTCCTCCTCCTCCTCGGCTAGCTATCCTCCTCCTGCTCCTCCTGCTCCTCCTCCGCCAGCATCTCCTCCACCACCTCTGCCTCCACTTCCACGTCCACTGTTGCCTTGCCAACTCTTCGCCAAGCTCTTCGCCAACGTCCGCACCGCTGGACCTCAACCTGGGACCTTCCCAGCTCAGTGTGCACCGCTGGACCTCAACCTGGGACCTTCCCAGCTCAGTGTGCACTGCTGGACCTCAACCTGGGACCTTCCCAGCTCAGTGTGCACCGCTGGACCTCAACGGCCAGATAGAATGCCAGAAGATATGCCAGATAGAGTGCCAGAAGATATGCCAGATAGAATGTTAGAAGATATGCCAGATAGAATGCCAGAAGGTATGCCAGATAGAATGTTAGAAGATATGCCAGAAGGTATGCCAGATAGAATGCCAGATAAAATGCCAGATAGAATGCCAGAAGATATGCCAGAAGGTATGACAGATAGAATGCCAGATAAAATGTCAGATAGAATGTCAGAAGATATGCCAGATAAAGTGCCAGAATGTTTGCCAGATAGAATGCCAGAAGATTTGAGTAGATAATATGCCAGAAGATATGCCAGATAGAATGCCAGAAGATTTGAGTAGATAATATGCCAGAAGATGTGCCAGATAGAATGCCAGAAGATATGCCAGATCGAATGCCAGAAGATATGTCAGATAGAATGCCAGAAGATTTGCCAGTAACAAAATGTATAAATGTCATGGTGGGGATCACTCGAAGTAAAGTATTTTTTTCAATTGTCCTTTTTGTTCCACGTTCCTTTTTCTTTTCCTTTCTTGATCATGAAGGTGTTCCAATTTAGCGATAACCTTAGCGATAACCTAACGATAACCTTTTGTTGAAAAAGGAACCCCAAACGAGGGATAGACTCATTTGATCCCAACAAGAAGAATGCCATCAGGTTGTTTTGAGACTTGGGGAGCTTTAAGCACTTCTTCATCGAAGGAAGTTTAGAAGTCAAACTTCCGACAATATGGACAGATGGAAAAGCAGAGGTGGGAAGAGTCAGAGAAGAGAAGAGTAGAAGAGAGAAGATCAGAGAAGAGGAAGAGTCAGAAGAAAGAAGATGCAGGTGCGCGAAAAGGTAGGAAAGCCGCGAAACACTGTGTTTTTCCAATGATTTGTGGCTCCGGATGGTCGAAAAGTAGGCTCGCTAAAGCGGCGGGTGCGGAGCCATCTGGCCAGATGAGAGATGAACAATTGCACGCCGTTGTGGCGCGAAGCGCATTTCCAAGTCAAAATGCACAAAACGCACCAGGTTCAGACCACTTTTGGAAGTTGACATGTCAAAAATTGCACGCGGTTGTGGCGCGAAGCACATTTCGAAGTCAAATGTGCAAAAAACTGACGGTCTCGGAACACTTTTGGACGTTCGGATGTCGTCTTGCGTGGCAGGCACAAGGGATTATGCACCTTGTCAAAAGTGAGCAAAACGTGAGGGTTTTGTGGCAGTTTCAAAAACGAGGCAGGTGTGGGACATTTGAAGAGGATCTGGAAAGATGCATTTCGCGTGGCAGGCGCAGTGCAAAAGACGTGTAATGGAACTTGTTCCTTGAAGCGTCATGACTGAATGGACGCAATAGTATGGGCTCAAAGTTAGTATGCAGGGGCATAGAGCTGCGCCGTTCGGTGTCATGGAGAACCTTCCTGACCTAGTGGCGCTGTCAGGAGGTTCGGTCGACTTGGCGGTAAGGTCGACGCAGGGTGGAACGTCCAGAGGTTATAGGGACGTTGGTCGATGTGGACGACCACACCCTGGAAGGTGTCTCGCTGTCCCTGGAGTCCTGGAGGAAAAGAACAAGAAGCCCACAGGAGTGCAGGAGGTGCGGAGGCTTGTGGAAGTTTCTGCCAAGGCGGCACAGCTAGGCTGGCAGATTGAAGGGCGTATCCCGGAAGGTGTTCTGCTGTTGGCCCATATGGCTCCGCAGTTAGAGATGAAGCTCAACGAGCAAAGAATGACAGCCCGGGAAGATCTGAGGAAGTTGGTTCCTCGGATAGGAAAAGCGAAGGTGGTCAAATGGCCCACGCGCTTGGAGAGAAGGCGTCAACAGGCAGGAGATGATCAGAACCTGCGAGCGAAGGCGGAAAAAGATGAGCGGGCTCGTGGTTGTTGGAGCTGAGGAAGTTGCTGCGTGAAGCGGAAGCACCGGCAATGAGGAGAGGAGGGATGCGATGTTCGAAGGCATCGACATGAGTCGCCGCTTTGGGAAGGGGCGCCGAGCATCCACGTTGCGGAAGCATACAAAAACGTGGATGAAGGCAAGGAGCTGGATGCCTTCGACGTTCCTCAAGCCATGGCCTGAGAGCGCTGAGGAGCTTGCATTCTATTTAGAGTGCCGGGCCAGTGAGCCGTGCGGCAAGTCGGTTCCGGGAAGCATCTACAGGACGCTTCTCTTTGCGGAGAGTGCTGGAGAATTCCCCGTGGATCAGCAGGTTGGCAAATCCGCGGCGATAAAGAACACCTTGGAAGAACATGCAGCTGGAATCTCGAGCATCGAGGTTCACGAAGAAGGCATGGCATTTGCCAGTCACGGTGGTGTTGGCTTTGGAGAAGAAGGTCCTGGACTACCGGGCGGAGAGCTATCTCAGGATTTATGCCTGGTTTAGGTTGGTGAAGTTGTGGACTGGGATGCAAATCTCAGATACCACGGGCCTGGATCATAGCACACTGCATGGAGTGGCAGTCCTTTGGGCTCACCGGGGTGCTGAACAGGACGAAGACGACTGGTCCAGGCAAGAAGGTCACTTTGCTGAGGATATTTGTCAGCAAAGATTGTTGGTTGGAATGCGAGACGTGGATATCCACAAATGAGCTGTGGATAAAGATGTCACAAGAGGCAGGGTTGATGGAGCGCGACTTTATGTTGCCGTGCCCTGTGGCCGCGCTCGGTGGGTTCGGCAAGCGCATGGTGAACTATGCCATGGCGTCGCGGCTGTCGCATGCCCTCTTCAACAACCTGAAGGTGGACTTCGACGAGGGGGCAACATATTGCCGTTGCTGGATGAAGGGGTCTGCACTCTCTGGTCGGAACATTCAGAGACGGCGACCATACGGACCTGGGCTGAAGGTTCTGGAGTGCCCGAACATGTGAGGAAACAGATGGGGCGATGGACGCCCACAGTGGACCAGGCATACGAGAGGAATGCCAGGTCTAACATGCTGAGGGCACAGGCCACGATCGCATGTTTCATTAAGAAGAACCTGGGGGCACGAGACCACTTTGATGAGGCCTTGGTGATCGCCGCGGTCTCGGAGCGCATGGAGAAGAAGCTGGCAGCTTTTGGGACGCACTCCAATCCCAAAAGAATCAGATTAGTTGGACCAGGTGAAGCTCGAGGAGATCTCTGGTGGGGCATGTGCCCGCACGAGAGGGCCTGCTGGATGGCGGGATGCTCTTAGAGTAATCGGACGAAGAAAAAGAAGAAGAAGAAGAAGGCCCGGTACAGGGAGAGGTATCGAGCTGGCGGACGGGCCAAGAAGTGAAGTCAGTGCCACGCAGGGACCTACGTGCTCAGCATCATCGGGCGAGGCGAGGGGAGGACCCTAGCTGCATCGGGTAGGTGAGTGCCATAGGATTCCGGGTATTCACTACGGTAAGTTTGAAGTGATCGGCAATGACCCAGCTCCGGTAGAGATGTTTCTTGCAGAATCTGCTTCCCTCAAGGAGGGGCCCAAGCAGACGCGTCGGACAGCGGGTTGTCCGAAGAAGATGACGTGAACTCTTCCGACTCGAGCACGTCGGTGGAGGAGACTGAGGACGGAGAGCTGACGGAACAGATCCGATCAGAATAAGAAAGGCTAGAGCAGATGGCACGCTGACACATGTTTGAAGATGGAGGTTAGAGGCGAAGTCAGCGGGCGTAAGGAGAGCAGCTTGTGGGCAGGAAAAGCTTGATGGGCCCGTAAGATAAAAAGGGCAGTCAATAGGACTGGTTCTGAAAGGGTCATGAGTAAGGCTCCGGTTGAGGGTGTGGAGGTCTTGGAAGGTGTTTGGAGTTGGATAGTTGTTGGTCTGCTCAGTTGCACTTGAGCGTTATGTCGAATGCCACAGCCATTTGGGGTCAAATAACTGAGGCGACGACCGACGACTTCGTACTGATCTTAGCAATGGTGGCGGTGTTTGACCTGGACACCGACGAGGGCTTGAGGATGCCCTGAAGGCATTGGACCCTGATTTTCAGGGTCTCATGGAGAGAAAAGAGATCCAACCCAAGCTGCAGGGCACGTTGTGCAACTTGGGGGTGAAGAGTACACTGCCGGTTTGCAGTGTTGGGTGACAATGCTGCAGCAATAAGGAACTTCGCCAACAACCACTGCCAGTTGCATGCAGACTGCGATGTGGTACAAGTGGCGGGGCTGGTGGATTGTTGGGAAGCCTGCCGTACCCATGCAGGTGCGGCACAAGTTGGAGGCCGAGGCAACAGCCTCATCGCTGCCACCTCCCGTGAACAAGACGGAGGCACAGGAGCTGAAAGTCAGATTTTGAACAGGCCCACGATCGCCTGGAAGACAAGTGGCTCCCTCGACGGGAACCTTGGAAGTGATGTTCGGGCAGGTGGAGTCGGGTGAGCGGAAGAATATGAGCCCGATTCATGTCATGAGCAGGGACGAGCAGGACGTGGAGCCGTTGGCAGCAAAGCTGGATAAATCGGGTATCCTCAAAGTCACCCGAGGCTATGGGGAGTCACAAGCACCGAGGACTCCGGAAGAATTGAGGCAGAAAGTGAAACTGTTGGGACATACGTACATCTTTGTACAATTGAAGTATCCCAACAGAGACTCCTTGCGAGAGATCAACCCGAATTTGTTCAACAAATACGTTGATTATCTCCTTGGGGAACATGTCTTCGGACTCAAAGCAAAGGATGCCAATTCAATGGTGAGACGATGTCATCACCGTCGCTGGAGCTCGTATTGAGCTATGACTTCCAGGTCAGAAAGGCCATGACGAAGGCCATGAACGAGGGTGTCAATATGGTAAAGGCCCTGGAAGATGCGATGAAGGATACCACAGTCAAGGAAAGGTATTTCTTGACTCCGGCGGCCATGGGAGCAGCTGGCAAGGAGTCCAGGCAAAAGTCTAGGTCTCCACGACGCGACAAGTCGGGGGACAGGAGCTATGGCCCAAAGTCGATCCAGGGGCAGTCAGAAAGGAAAGAAAGGCAAGGGCAAGAGGAAGCCAGGCAAGACCCTACATAGCCGCACGCCTGACGGTCACCGACATTTGTTTTGCCTGGAACAACAGGGATCAAAGGTGCCGATTCCAATGTGGGCGAGTTCATTGTTGCCAGATATGTCTCGGCACACATCGTGCAAAGAAGGAGGAGACCGTAAGTCCAGCGGTAAAGATACCGCAGGAGGAGGAGGTAACAAATGAAGAAGTGTCGGCGATCCAGGGGAGATCTCCCTCCTGGAGAGAGATGAGAAGGAGATCGCAGAAAGCCGGTCCGAGAACCCACAACGGGCCTGCTCGAGCGGTGCAGAGATGAAGGCACCAGTGGCAGCTCCTCAGACGGAAGGGTCTGAAGAGAGGACAGACATGTCCGATAGTGCAAAGCCGAAGAGCGTTGCAACAGGTTTCACAATTCGAATTCTGTATCTGTTTGCAGGTGCAGAGCGTAAGACCTCAGTGGTTGAGTACCTTCGATCGCTGGCAGCCAAAAAGGGGTGGTAAGTCGAAGCATGCGAGGTTGATTTGAAGCGGGATCAACCTTTTTGATCTCACTAATGAAGCCCTGCAGGCTTCCATCCTTAAGAGGTTGCGACAAGGTGAGTTTCACGCGGTGATTTGCACACCACCATGTAGCACTTGGTCTCGTGTCGGGTTTCCCATGGGTGAAAAGGAGGCTGGCAGTGGATGTAGAGCTGGGTAATTCTTTGGTGAGGTTTTCCATCGAAGTCTGGACCACTGTTTGTCAGTTTCCTATTTCGGCTGATGGATTTTATATCTTTGTTTTCGGAGAACACCCAGAAGACTTGGGTGCTGTCGTCAGGGAAGAAGATCGTTTGAAAATGACGCCAGCCAGTATTCATCTGGAGAGGCAGCCTTCCCTCTCGTCGGGGAAGGCGAGATGGAGGCAGCTGAGGAAGGCAGGTCAAGTCATGTGCAGACGGCTTGACGGATACGAAGGAGCGGAAAACACCTGGCAGGAAGGAGACGGGTGACAATCAAGGGGAAAACAAAAGGAAGCCAGGTGTTGGAATTCCCCTGAAATGCTACTAAAGGGGAAACAAGGACGATCCACGATGGTGGAGGATTGTGCTCGCCAGGAAGGTGCCCCATTGAGGGGAGAAAAGAGCTGGCAGGCAAAAAGGGGATAGCGGTGGCAGCGTGCTGCAGGTCGCTTTTCCTCAAGTGGATCCTCGAGCAAGGGAAGAGGGCCGGGGACGCGGTCAAGGACATTTTCTGGTCCTTGGCAGGGGGAAAGGTGAAGGGCCCCCCAGTCGACCAGTTCATGTCTGGGGCCAGGAAGCCCTGGACGACAAGTTGAGATCTCTGGGTTTTCGCCCGGAAAGGAGGGAAGGAGACCGAGACTGCGAGGTCAACTACAGGAGGCTTCAGGCTACGGTGAGGGCGAGAGTGGTTGGAAGAAGCATGTGAGCTGCGGGGTGAGACTGAGACTTGGCGTGGATATGACCATGCCAAGGGTACCCGCGGTATTTGCAGAGAAGGAAGTGGAACTTGGACTTCACAGAGCAGCAGTTCCAGGACTCGATGGCCGGCAATTACAAGTCCGCGCAGAAGAACTGCGAGGACATAGAGAGGCAGGTCATGGAAGAGGTAGGGAGGGGGTCCATCCTGAGGGTGTCAGAGGAGGAAGCTCAGGGTGAATTCAGGGGTCGCCTAGCAGTAGCGGCCTTGCAGGGGTCCAGTGCGGTGAGGATAGTCCACGACAGCTCGTATTCTGTGGGCGTCAACCACAGGATCAAAGTCTTGGACAGGATGAGGTTTCCAGGCATTGACGATGCGTCAGGGGTGATGATGTACGTGGATGAGCACGTCGAAAGATGTCCCAGGCTGATGAGGTGCTCTATGCTATATGATATCGCACGGGCTCATAAGCTGGTGCCGGTGGCAAGGCAGGACTGGGGGTATCAAGCCTTCAGGCTCCCGGGGAACAAGCAACAAGGGAATATCTTCTTACATACAAGAGGAACGTTCGGCATTGCTTCAGCGGCCTATCATTGGCAGCGGTTGGCGGCTGGCGTGGTCAGGCTGATTCACAGGCTGGGAGGAAGAGAACTTGGACTTTTGCATCTGTTGTTTGCAGATGACGGTTGGCTGACGGCGCTTGGAGAATACTTTTGGCGGAAGATAATATTTTGGATGTGTGTGTTGGAGTTGGTAGAGTTGCCACTGTCGTGGAAGAAAGTCAGGGGCGGTTTGTCAGTGCAGTGGATAGGGTACCAGCTCCACGTGGACAGCAGAAAGAATGGTATCTCAGAGAAAAAGGTCAAGTTGATAGTGGAATGGATCGAAAAACATCAAGCATCAAGAGGCGTCACAGGACGGGCGCTGAAATCGGCATTGGGCAGGTTCTGCTTTGTGGCGGGGGCCCTTCAACATGTGAGGCCTTTTCTGGTGCCATTATTTACTTGGTCAACGGTGTTGGGGCCTGGCACGTTTGCAAAATTTCCGGATGCCATAAACATCCTGCTGGACTCTGTCAGAGAGGAAGTCGCCAAGGAACCTATGTCTAGACCCAGGCGTTGGAAAGGCGAAGTGCTCGAAATCTTCAGAGTCGATGCAAAAGCAGAAGGTGATCACATTGTGATAGGAGGATGGGAATCCCAGAGTCTGGGAGCACTATGGACGCGCGCTGGTTTTCGGTGGTGTTGAACAGAAGGAATGCGCCCTGGGCCTACTTGAAGGGGGAACCTTTTAGAAACATTGCAAGTTTGGGGCTGGTAGGTCTTGTGGCAGTCATGTTGTTCGGGGACCGAGTTGCCAAGCAGATGCATAGAAAGCCAAAGCGGCTGACATTGACGCTGAGTACAGGCAATCTGGGCAACACATTTGTATTGAGTCATTTTATGAGCCGCAAGTATCCTTTGTCCATAGTGGTAATGGAGTTGGCAGCTCAGTTGAGGAAGAAAGGAATAGAAATGGACTTAGGGTGGATACCCAGAGGACAGAATGCGGAAGCTGACGCATTGACAAACTCGGAGCTCACGGGCTTTGACCCGGGGAAGCGCATAGATATGAACTTCGAGGACTCAAAGTTTCTGGTGATGGACAAGCTAATGGAGAAGGCTGCAACTTTGGATGAAGAGATAAAGCTAGCCAAATCACCCAAAGAAGTCAAAGGTGATCGGCCCGAAGACAGTCGGTCGAAGAGGAAGAGGGGCCAGACTAGGTGGACAGACCCCTGGTAGCAGAACGAAGAAGAGCCAGGGGTCGAGAAGGTAAGTGAAGGGTATTGACAAGCCAGCATCTAAAGAAGGGAAAGGGTGCTGGCAAAGTCAGTCACCCAAAGGGAAGACGCACAGGTCAAACCTGTGACCTGGAACTGCCCTGACAAAAAGTCAGGGCAGAAAGAAAGGCAGACGCAAGAACTTTGCGCATCCCGTAAAAAGAGTGAGTGCGCGCATTGTCTGCCAAAAGGGAATGAAGGAGTGACGTGTAATGGAACTTGTTGTAATTACTATTGCAATTACTACTATTACTACAATTACTACAATTAAGGGGTACAACTGCTACAACTATTGCAAAAGGGGTACAACTGCTACAACTATTGCAACTACTACAATTACTACAATTAAGACAATTACAATTTCAACTACACTACAACCACAACCACAACTACAACCACAACTACAAATACCACATTACAACTTCAACAACATCAACCCCACTACGACTACAACTACTGCACTACACCACACTACATCCAGGAGTTGTGAGTGAGGTGACCACTGCAACCATTGCAACCACTCCAAAAAGCACAACTCCAACCACCCTTCGGTCCATCAGGGGATTCGCTCCGCCATCCATGCATCACAACAACTCACCTCTCCTATAGCGTCCTATCCTTGAAACTTCCCCCACCGCCTTGCGCGGTACTACCGGTAGCTACGAACGCTTCTTTATTGGGACTATGAGGTCCCATCTTCAACTTCTAAAGCTTTTGAGCGTGGAAGTGTGGCGTTTTCTGACGCCTGGCATTTCAAAGAAGGACAATTGCGAGGTGACCCTTTTTTGTTTTCATAGAATTAGTGATCTTATGACCGTTGGGAACAGTTGATCTTAATTGAGTTCAGAGCTGATTGAACTTGTAATAAATGTCTTTCCTTAGGAAGCTCCCCAACATGGTCGCAAAGACAGGGAGCGCCCCTTAATCCATTCCCAGCAGTTTACAGATTCTGAATCCGTGAAACCAATTCCGCTGCATGTTTGCATTATTTAGTGTTGAGTTGAACCAAAATAACAAAACACTAAAGCGATAGGGTTCCCCCCAAGAAACGATAACCAACATTTTCGTACCAAGCATCAACAATTGATTCTGACGGCGGCTCATATCAAAAACATATCTTTTCTATGAAACAACGATGCACTTCCTGACTTGATGGTCTTTGTGAAATCGCGTGGTGCTGGGAGATAACCGATCTGGAATCCTATCCACCACGGTTGCACGAGGCTGTTCCTTTGATTACAGGACTCCTGGGCAAGTGCCTCAGTGACACTGTAATTCCGACGCAAGAGAGAAGCAGGTCCATTCCAGAGCGTAGGTCTGCAGGAATGCGGTCCTATCAGGGCTGGGCGGCTAGGTTCAATTCAATCAGGTTTGCTAGCTATCAAGTCTTAGACTTGCCCGTGAACTTGTCAGGTGCATTGATAGCTGCTCCTCTTTTTCGCATCACGGTGTGCAGCCTACGAGACTCAAACGGTGTGCCAGTGCTTGATCAACAGGTTCAAACAGAGAAGATTTGAAGGGCTGCAATCACACCGCAAAAGGTCCGCAATCTGTGGCGCGATGGAGCTGGTAGTGCAAATGCTGCTTCCTTGGTCAGAGAGCATAGGCGAGAACCGAAACGAGATTCACGCATTATATAAATTGAAGGCTTTCAGAAGTCAAAGATATCAGATGTGTCTATCCTTTTATAATTCTATCCGTGGATTTTTGGACCATCTGGCATTCTCGGGAAGCTTTCCAGACTGGAAATTAATCTAGAAATGATGCAGAAGCTTGCACCCCCTGGATCCATTCGCAAACCTGCAGTGTTAGAATATGCCCACTACACCTGACATTGGTTTCCTATATGATTGTGTTTGTATGACCGTACTGGGTATTACAGAATGCTTTTGCAAAGCGGCAACTCACATCAGCTTGTACCTACAGATTCATTGACGACGAATGGTCAACATCAGTTTAGCGCGCGTAGTTTCATGGTGTTACGTGATGTATTTTGCAGTCATCGTTTTGCAGTCATACTCATTGTAAGGTGCATCAGATGGATTTGCACGGACTTGTACCATCAGCGGAACCTGCACGTCGATGACCACTTGCCTTTCAGATCCTCTCACAATCTCTCACAACCTCCGCCATTCACGCGTACTGTAAATTCAATTCCACTATTGCTTGCACGGGTCACAAACAATCTGTCTATCGCTATTGTTCTTTCGAGCTGCTTGGCAAGCCCGCAGCACTTTCTTCCACGGGTCCTGTAGCCTTGTGTTGGGCACTGTTGCAGGGCGGGATGGGCACAGAAATTTGAGCGCAGAGCATGTAAGGCAGGAGTAAGCTACATCAGAAAACATGAGAAAACATGACACGCTACCACACACCACCAAATGCGGCTGGACTCTGGACACATCTGGACCACCAAGGCCTTCGCAGATGTGGGCCGTTTGCATCATCAACTTGCAACTGCCTTCACTGTGGCCTTCTGCGCCAGCGAGGTGTGATGCATCCTGACAGCTGAATTTGGTCGCCTCATGGGCCAGTGTTTTGAAAAGAAGCGCGTTCAATCGCGTTCATGTGTAGGCTGTGTAGGGTGCAATGTGCAACTACATGCAATCACTTGCAAACACCTTCGCTCGCAACCTGAATGCCTCCCTCCCTCACTCCTTGATTAGTTCACGAAGTCACCTCACCAAATACCTGGCCAAACCTTTTAGGCAAATTCCGTGCAGCATTTTTCACGAAATAGCTGGAGTTGCTCTTGCTGCAGCACGGATTACGGTGGGCACTGGAACCACAATTATTTAAGTGAAACTTGCACGCAAAGGGGGGCCCTCCCTTCACACCAAGATCCCAGAGCGTTTCGGAAGAGTCTTGGATAGTCTTGGGATAGGATGGTCCTAGGCTCGATCCCCCAGGCCAATCAAGTCTAGCCTTGCAGCATGTTTGCGCTTGGAGAATCTCCATCCTACAGATCTATACTTCGTACCTTCACACACCCTTTCGCCCCATACCCACTGTTCTTTGAATGTCTACACATATCAACATATCATTCCTGTGAAACGTGTGCCTCCCCTTTCATGCCCCTCCAACCCCTATTCCAATCCCATGTTTCTACGCAAACCCTTCCCTGCGCTTGGAAACTTCCCCACCAGACACGAAACAACATGCTGCGCATGCAAATATTTTGCCTTCCTCTCAGTCAACCCCATCACCGTCAATGATCATTCACTCAGTTTGCATACTTGTGAACAAAACATAACCCAAAAAAAACTGAACCTTTCGCTCGCAAGCTTGCTTCAGCAACTGTACGCAATACTGAACTGTAGTTGAGGGTTCTATTCTGTCACGCACTCACCCGATCACCCAACGATTCAGTGCCTCAATAAATGACACTCGCAATCACTCTGCGACATTCAGCGACTGGATCACTCAGAAATGCTAAAACCATCCATTCTTCAAGCAAGAAGCCAATCGACAAGCAATTAACGAGGCAATCAATCTATATACATCTCTAGGCCTGCCTTTTTGATCGTAAGGGTCTCTAGTCACTAGTTTTTGAAAATTCATCCCCCTAACCCTGATTTGGAGATGGAAGGGGGGGAACTCATTTTGCAATGGCTTTTTGAATTTCTCTCTTTTTTGGTAGGTTGGTTTAACCGGTTGATTTTCACTGATACACATTGATACACTACTTCTCCTTTTCCTTTCATCTCGTCTCCTCTCCTTCCACTCCTCTGAGCCTCTCCTCCCCAAACCTCCAAAAATTGCAAAACATGGACAGGCAGCGCCTCGCTTAAAACCAGTTGTTTTAAGCAAGGCAAACGCATTTTGGGCAAGGCAAAGCTTCGCGCCTTATTGGATAGGGCACCGCCTCGCTTAAAACTACAAGAGAGGAAATGATTGAAAAGTAGCCAGGACTCGCCACACTCTAGAAGCGATAGGTTTCGTGGCCGAAATGCATGGTTGGGACAGCAAAAAGAAATCCTACTCCCCCCGACCCCCCTTCCCCTTAGGTCCAGGGGCTTGGGAATTCCATGTGATTCCCTGGTTTGTGGATTTTTATGCCATGGTGGTCTATGCTAGTGTCATTTGAGGACAGCCTGGACATGACTCCTGCACATCCTATCTCGGTTGCAATATGCGTTGAATAGTTTTCACGCATTTTCGGTATGAAGGCACTTCCTTGTCACTGCAGTAGTCATACTCATGGGTTCAGGTTATCGTTTTGCCAGGCCTTCACCGCTGTGTTTGCCTACTGTTTGATTGCATATTTTAAGAACTGGAGCACTGACAAGGCGGGATCTCAATGTATTCCTGATATTGACAAAATTGAGGGTGGACGAATCATGCCAAATCTGGCTGATGACATGGTGGTAGGAAACCGTTGCACAAGGAACATCCAGCAACAAGTTTGGTGTGTCTTTGGCAGTCTCTCGAGCAGTGTCTCTGGCAGTGCGGCATAGTGGCGCCCTTTCTGTCTCGCGAGCAGCCCAGCTTTTGCCAGGGCCAAAGAGTTGCAATAAGCGCACTTTGCTGTGCAGCAGCAAGTGCTGCTGGCGCTGCTTCCGGCTGGGTCGGAAGCCACAGATTTGCATATCATACAATATCTCACATATATATATATTATTATATTATTATATTATTATATAATATGTTGTGTCTATTTGTATATACATGCACATCATCGTGGAGCAAACATCATGGCAGATCTTTTACTTGTCAGATGTGAAGTGCTAAGAAATACTACTTGTAGTGCGAAGCAGGATGACAAGAGGATGCAGCAACAACACACGTTGGGAAGCAGGAATGCTCTTCTCCGGGCCGTTTCAATGGCATATGATTTGGTCTATATTGGTCTATCGATGTCTATCGTAATAATGGTCACAAGCCCAGGGTTTAGGATATTGCGACGCTTCTGAGCTTGTTTCCGTGTCGCCTGTCTTCTTCTGTATCTCCCGGTTTCTCCCCCTGATAACTTCGACAAGTGAAGTGGCATCAATCCATGGGCCAAGGGACTCTTGGATGGGGGGAACTTTTGCTGTAGTTTGGGGTGCGTGTTGTTTGCAAATTGTTTTGACAGTCACTCTTTGCCAGCAGAAGATGATACGGCTGTCGGTCAACAGTCAAAACAGTGTACCTGGTTTACATCCAAAAATGAAGCGTTTTGATAACCCTCAAAATTACATTTTCGGTGCATGAAACTGGCTCTTACCCAAGAAAGATAATAACGAAGTAGATAACAAAATATACAGCCTGGTTCGGACATTTTGAGGCCAAGGGGTTTAGACACTTACCCCTACAGCAGGGGCATTCGAGCAAGGTTGGAGCCTCTGATTTCCGTCAAATGACAGACCCGCTTACGCCTCAAGTCCAGATGTCAACAATTCTCAACCTCTAGTTAGCCAAGATGACTGTTTGCCAAAGATGACAGCTGTTCGAGCATTGCGCGAGCCTAGGTCAGCAGGACTGGCTTGGGACTTGCTGGTGCTTCTGGTAAGTACTGGGTTTTCCCAGATTTTATCCCTTGTGTACACGACTTAGCATACCTAGCCACGCCTTCGGTGGAAGACAGAGTCACAATATTTGATAGTACAATCCAGACTCTACGACTCCGGACATATTTATATATATATATACATATTTATATATATATATACACATATAATATATATATATATATACTGAATGGGAAATGGAAACTTGATACCTGGAAGTATTGCACTGCAGCGCTGTTGCGAGCAGTCTTGTGTATTGCCCATTTGCCCACTGAAACTTAGGCTAGTGCCTGTGTCCATCTTCATGTTGCTATGGGACACGCCGGGTATAGGCGCTTATGGGGCCAGAACCTGCCAGTGCTACAGCTGACAGCTGCTACACACCTGGTCAATTTCGCCTTTCGCATGCAGGTGTCACAGTACCGACGGAAAACTGTTCTGGAAGACCTTGACAGAGACACGTAGAGTGCACCCTGCCATCTGAAGGCGATATCCTCAAGTACGCCATGAAATTCCAGTCCTTCCAGTGGCCATTCTCCCAGCAACAGAATGAGTTCTACTGTACATAAGGGAGGTGCTAATTTAGTCTAGCAGATTATTGATGCGGGGAATGTAAAAGCCAAGGAGTGAGTGGTGGCATCAACGTGGAGCAGGTTCAGGCAAGAGAAGACTCTGGCGCTTTCAAAATTGACATTCAGATCATTCGGGTCTAGGCGGTCAAGGTAATTTTCTCTGCAGCTTCAAATCAGAAGATCAGCTCAAGCGGCATACCTTCCCACTATTTGGGATCTGTCCCTCTCTGTGCTTGTCTTTTCTGAACCGGGTTGGAAGACAGGACAGTGGTCTCAATTGGTCTTGCTCATTGCTGACATTGAGATTGACGAAGGACGTTGCCCTTTCGTTTTCGTTCTGCGCTTACTACCAGTAGAAGCTTGTTTAGATTCTGGGCATGTCTAGAAATTGTGAGGCTTCTCAACTTCTCAGTGAAAGCTCAGTTTGAAGAGTGGCCAGAATCCTGAAGCGCTTAAAAAACGTCACTGATGGTCACTGCAGATTCTCAAAGACTCTGGCACTAGAAGGCTCAAACCCAATGAAACTTTAATGAGATTTGACGATGGTAGTTCTGAAATGTTCTGAAGGCTTTGGTATGCTTTGGTGAAATAACCAGCTCGGGTTTAGACAGCAGTTCAAATCATGCTAGTGTAGTTCGTTGTTTTCGCAGGGTGGAACTGGTTGGAAGGCACCAGCTGTACTCGTACGAGCTCGTTATTTTATTGCCCGCAAGTCTGTTGGTTCCTCCATCGGTATGGACTCCAGTGGTTCCAAGTCGTCCATGGGGATGTGCGTAGCTTGCACATGGCGTCCTCCTTGCGAAATGTCAAGAGATACGTTAAATTGGTTCACTCAAATTGCGTACCAGTAGGCAGTCCTGTTCCTTCCCGTTTGCGTGCCATGTCAATTCCAGCGTGCCATAGTGGTTCTGCAACTGAGGATATATATATATATATGTAATTATATATATACGTTATATATATATTATGTTATTGTATTAAGGAGTTCTTCACTTGTTTGGGGATGCTTTCGTGGCTTTTGTTTTTTTGGCGTTTGTTTTAGGTATTTCTTTTTGTTCGCCTAGGGCTGTTTCCTTCCTATTTGCAGCATGTCGGAGCTATATATGGTCCCATGTCCCGTGTTCCCATGGGATGGGTCCCCAGGTAGCACCCCCTTCCCTTCTATTTGCAAGCTATCGGCAGCATTTCTGAGGTCCAGCCTTGTATTTGCTAGGTCTTTGCAGCATTTCTGATTGCCAGCCTCGCATTTACTAGGTGCATGCTACCTTTTAGACGACATACGTAGCACACATACGCCCTCAAAGTACCTACGTGCTACCTATAGTCATATATACATGTGCTATGTATCTACATCCTATTTACTACATATATATATATGTATGTATGTGCGTACACATATAGATACATACATATCTATCTATCCATCCATCTACCTATCTATCTGTCTATCTATCTATCCATCCATCCATCTACCCATCTATCTATCTATCTATCGATCTATCTATCTATCTTTCTATCTATCTATCTATCTATATATACATCTGTATATACATGTAGATATACATATAATATATACATATATTTATTTACACATATATATACATATTTATATATATATACATGTATACATATATATATACATGTATACATATATATATATATTATATACATGTATACATATTTATATATATATATATACATGTATACATATTTATATATACATATAAATATATACATATATACATATTTACATATATACATATATAATATATATATATTTACATATACATATGTTTATATACATAATTATATATACATATATACATGTAGACATATTTATATATATGCATGTATACATATTTATATATATATATACATGTATACATATATACATATATACATATATACATATATACATATATACATATGCAAATTTACACATATAGATTTACATTTACATATATATACATACATATAAATATATTTACATATATATATGTGGTCCAGCGGTACAACCCCCCCACCCCGACAGTACCACACCCCCACCACACCACAGGGGGGAGGTGGACTGTTATATACGTACATGCATGCATGCATACATACATACATACATACATGCATACATACATACAGACACACATACATACATACATTCATTCATTCATTCATTCATTCATTCATTCACACACATACATACATACATACCTACCTGCCTACCTACCTACCTACATACCTACCTACATACCTACCTACATACCTACCTACATACCTACCTACATACCTACCTATTATACCTACATACCATACCATACCATACCATACATACCTACCACCCGTCACCAGGCCACAGGAGGGAGGGGGGAAACCATAAGAAGCAAGACTGAACACCCATCCCCATTGGGGGGGAGGGGGGCGCTGGCCGACGCTGGACCATATATACAAATCATATTAGATCGTTATAAATCCTGCTATTTATATAGTCGATATTTGCGTATATTCGCAGCCTTTCGGAGCAATTGCTTTTT